AGATAAGCATGGGTGTAGACGTGCCCCGAGGGCTTTGCTTCTACAGTTCGGACTCAAGTGTCACGGTTTTGAATCTAATCCCGCAAAGTGCTATGCGAGACCGATAAATCACCAAAGAGTCCAAATCCGGCAAATCATTTTGGAAAACTGATTTTTAAGAAGGAAGTGTCAGACATGGACTGCTTTGCCAGATACAGAGTCGCCACCTAAATATTTATTTTTGGGGAATTTAGGAAACCCTGACTCTTTGCCTAAGGCCACATGTCCGTCATCACCAAAGTTGCCTCGGCTTGGGAACTTGAGTACCATTGGGGAAGGTCATCTATGAGCACCCCCGCTCGCCCGATCCGAAAATCGGCCTGTACTAAGCATGATATCGAGTTTTGAAAACATATGTGTTCTTATTCCAGTTAATTAGCTAGAATTACTATGTGATGCGCACAACACACAAGTATAGACTAGATCGCCTAATTCGGAACAAAGCATCGCATATCCGTCTGTTTGGAAAATGGTTTGAGGTTTGCTACTTGCAAACAGGCTAAAACGAGGATTTCAATGAATTGATCCAATTCAAGTAATCCAACCTTCACCCACAGGCATTCAGGCAGTTATATCACATAAGCAATTAGCCTCATGGTAAGCATGCTTTCATGTTAACACTCACATACATGCAAGATGCTAAAACATAATCACTCACAGTGTACTCCGAGCCAAAACAAAGAACATGTTAGTAATCAAATGTATGATCCAAGTCCATGTTAAGATGGCTAATGCATCGCAAGCAAAATGCAACTAGAATAGGCTCGGCTAAGCTAAAATGGCATATGAGATGCGACGATTCGATGCATATATTCAACTTGGAATTTAAATACAATGCAGTTAGTATGATGCGCCGAGCCCGGTGCATGCAATACAGATGAATGATGCAAACATGCACAGCATAAGGTATGCTAAATCAAATATGCCCTAAAACTAACCGTCATAAGCGGTTAAATAAAAGGGAGAAAGAAATGGAGGTTGGAAGACATGCATCACACACGCACGCTTATTACAAAATTGGCCCTCTCTCGGAGGGACCGAAAGAATAATACAAATTAACTAACTAACAAGCTAAATAATTATTACACAACACTTGACTAATTAAATGAATTAATTAAGCTAAGAAAGCAGTAAAGAGGCCTCGGGAAGAGGGATGAATGTACGCATGCTCGATTCTGCTTGGAAATCCATCGCCATGCTCATGCTGCCTCTGTTTACACTACTCTACATCTCTGAACACTGCGCAAGTCCCAAAGTTACTTCGGGACTACTCCCTGAGGTTTGTGGGAGGTCACCAACCAAGAGGTGAGGCCACCGACCATGAGAAATTGGTCATCGACCGTTTGTGGTAATCTCGGCCAACTATTCATGGCCGACCGGTATTGAAGATGGCCGACCAGCCATCTCTTCCTGCAGAATCCTGTTTTGCTGCAGCAGAGGACAAACAGAGCATGGCAATGCATTTTCAAAGCAATGTGTGCACCATCACGATCCTTATCATGTTTGAGACTTAAAGGAGTATGGTTCTCGACCCTCGGGCCATCAATCACGCATGATGGCCAAAGGAGCCAAGTGTGCATTTTAATGTCAAAATGAAATGCACACAAAACACATAAAAGGGCCCCAACCTCTATCATACTTGATCAAGAGGCAAGGGATGCATGCTTAATGCTATGCAACCTAGGCATGCAAGCAAGCTAATGCAACGTGAGTATGCAAACAAGCATGCAACATGAGCATGCAAACAAGCAATGCAATATTACTTAACACGCAACAACATGTTAATAGGCCAAGTATGCAACAACACGCAAGGCAAGCATGTAACAACATGCAGAAATGGTCATAAACCAAAATGGGCAGCTCTCAAATAAGCCCAAATCAGTGGCCAAAGTCGAGAATTGGACGCATGAAAACGCAAAACAATGATGCACATGTGAGTGGTCCAACACCTAGGCAACCATGCACAATCCTCAAGCATGAGCAAGATGTGATAAATATGAGAATATAACAATGCATTAAGCTCTAAAAATATGTGGGGAATGATGCCAAATCAACCAAATAAAGCAAGCAAAGCATGCAAGAAGGTCCAAGGCCTAAGGCTAACCAAAGGGATCAAACCATGGCCATACAAGGCAAGTCCCAAAGGGTCAAAGGGACCCAAAACAGTCCCAATACAGGTCAATACAAGGCCAAAAATACACTTAGATGGCATCCAAATGATCTAAGCATGGAAGCATACTCAATGATCCATTCAAGAAGCATAAGACAACAACTCTTTAAAGCATTAAAGGAGTGATGAAAGCAAGTATTCAAGCATGAAACATGGACTGAAATAGTACAACAAATGATGCCAAATCATTGAAATGGTCCAAGTAATGCATGCTAAAAGCTTGGACACCCGAAGACAAAAAGCTAGAATACATGGTAGCTATACAAGACAATGCAAGCATGACCAAAACAACACCAAACAGACCTTAAGCATGGTAAAATAAGCCTAAAAGCTTCATGGAGTTGAGCCAAAATCATGCTAAAAAGGCATGTTACAACATGGTGCATGTTAAGGCAAATCATGGGATTACATGACAAGTACACAAAGCATGCATGGTATGTCTAAACCAACTCAAAACAGAGGTGTATCATGGCAAAACAAAGCCTAATACATACTGAAATGAAGCTAAAACAAGCTAAGCATACATGCTACAACATAAGTCATTTATGCAAGCATTAAAGACAACATGGAGAGGAGATGACCCTCTCCTATTTAGGACACCAAAACCACCTCTCCACCACTGAAAATCCTCTAGATTTCAGTGGTAGAGAGGTCATGCAAAGCAAAGAATAATGGCCAAAATGGATGGCCTAAAACAAGGCCTAACAAGGCCTTGGAGGGGGGAAACAACCTCAAACCTCAAAGTGACCTTAAACAAAGTTCTAAAACACACAAAATCATAAATTTTATTAGTTATAGTCGAAGCTTAAAACAATAAGCAAGAAAGGGGTAACTAAAGTAAGGATGCTCACCCTTGTAGACCTTCTTTAGGAACCAAGCTCCAACACCTTTCTTTGGTCAAAACTAGTCCAAGAACCCTAACAACAACCTTCTAAGGCCTCAACAACCCAAGGATGGTGTAATGCTAGGTGTTCTAGTGCAAAAGTAAGACAAAACTCACTTTAGGTCACAAAACAAGACCAAACCAAGAAAAATAGATACAACACTATATCTATCCTCTCAAGAACAAATTTTTTGAACCTTGGAGAAGGGAGGAGGGGCTCCCTCTTTATAGAGGCTCAAATCCTCAAGCTTCCAAGAGAAGCTAAACAAGAGGTAAATCCCTCCATACACGTGTATGGAGGGGGTTAATAATGGCACAGCTAGCACAAAAATATCTGCATAAAGCAGATGAACAGGGTTCGGCTAGCAAAAATAACCGGTCGACCAAATACAGTGCCGACCGGCCAACACTCTTGGCCGGTGGCAAGAAAAAGGGGCCGATGGCCTCATGCCATGGCCAGTGGGTTGAGGGGATGGAAAACAAGCCACCCACTTCCCTTAGAAGCAAAAACACAAGTGTTTGGTCCATGACCAAGTACAAAACAGATAAGTTGAGAGATCTTGAGGCAAGGCGCGTAGCCGAGACCTCTGAGAACTCAAAACGAACACGAGCATGGATGATCATCGAGTGTTCAAACGATGACGTCCAAGTCTTGAGGACGGTCAAAAATGGGGTGTCTACAATGGGATAACATCATAGGATTTCAATCCTATTATGTTGGCCTTCTGGATTAGAGTAATGATTAACAGGGACAGTCAGGGGCATTCATATTTCATAGTCAGAGGTGAAATTCTTGGATTTATGAAAGACGAACATTTGCCAAGGATGTTTTCATTAATCAAGAACGAAAGTTGGGGGGCTCGAAGACGATCAGATACCGTCCTAGTCTCAACCATAAACTATGCCGACCAGGGATCAACGGATATTACTTTTAGGACTCCGCTGGCACTTTATGAAAAATCAAAGTTTTTGGGTTCCGGGGGGAGTATGGTCAAGAGACTGAAACTTAAAGGAATCGACGGAAAGGCACCACCAGGAGTGGAGCCTGCGACTTAATTTGACTCAACACAGGGAAACTTACTAGGTCCAGACATAGTAAGGATTGACAGTCTAAGAGCTCTTTCTTGATTCTATGGGTGGTGGTGCATGGCCATTCTTAGTTGGTGGAGCGATTTGTCTGCTTAATTCCTTTAATGAACGAGACGTCAGCCTGCTAACTAGCTATGTGGAGGTGACCCTCCACAGCTAGCTTCTTAGAGGGACCATGGCCCTTCAGGCCATGAAAGTTTGATGCAATAACAGGTTTGTGATGCCCTTAGATGTTCTGGGCCATACGTGCGCTACACTAATGTATTCAACGAGTCTATAGCCTTGGCCGACAAGCCCGGGTAATCTTTGAAATTTCATCATGATGGCGATAGATCGTTGCAATTGTTGGTCTTCAACGAGGAATTCCTAGTAAGCGCGAGTCATCAACTCGCGCTAACTACGTCCCTGCCCTTTGTATACACCGCATGTCACTCCTACCGATTGAATGGTCTGGTGAAGTGTTCGGATCGCGGCGACGTGGGTCATTCGCTGCTAAGGACGTCGTAAGAAGTCCACTGAACCTTATCATTTAGAGAAGGAGAAGTTGTAACAAGGTTTTCATAGTTGAACCTACGGAAGGATCATTGTCGATGCCACTGCATTGCAAAACGACCCACGAACTTGTCATATTACTGCTAGAGAAGCAAGAGGTGGGCCATCTACTCCCTCCTATTGCCCCTCGTCAAGAGTGCCCCTGGGGGCCCTCCAAGGGTGGCAGGTGCCATTTCTCGGCAAAAAACAAACCCTAGCAGGAATTGCGCCAAGGAACTCGAACATAGAAAGCGTGCTCATGTGCTGCATCTCACGAAAAAACTAAACGACTCTCAGCAATGGATATCTCGACTTTCGCATTGATGAAGAACGTAGTGAAATGCGATACTTGGTGTAAATTGCAGAATCCCGTGAACCATCGAGTCTTTGAACATAAGTTACGCCTAAATCCATTAGGTTGAGGGCACGTCTGCTTGGGCATCTCACGTTGCGTTACCCGTACCCCCCCTCCCGAATGGAAAGGTTGAAAGCTGATGTTGGCCCCCCGCGAGCGCCTACGTGCAGTCGGCCTAAAAACGAGTCCCCCACGACAGACGACGTGTCGCAACGAGTGGTGGTTGACAAACTGTTGCGTCACCTCGCTTGCATCTAAGTCGTTACGGGAGGTCTATATTGACCCTATTGTGCCGCTGCGAAGGCGCTCCGATCGCAACCCCAAGTCAGGCAAGATTACCCACTAAATTTAAGCAGATCAATAAGAGGAGGAAAAGAAACTTACGAGGATTCCCCTAGTAACGGCGAGCGTACCGGGAAGCGTCCAGCTTGAAAATTGAGCAACCCCGTTGTTCAAGTTCTAGTCTGGAGAAGCATCCTTAGCGGTAGACCAGGCCTAAGTCCCCTAGAAAGGGTTGCCAGAGAGTGTGAGAGCCCCGTCGTGCCCCGGACCCTATCGCACCACGAGGCGCTGTCTACAAGTCAGGTTGTTTGGGAATGCAACCCTAATCGGGCGGTAAATTCCATCCAAGGCTAAATACGGGCGAGAGACCAATAGCAAACAAGTACCGCGAGGGAAAGATAAAAAGAACATTGAGAAGAGAGTCAAAGAGTGCTTGAAATTGTCGGGAGGAAAGCAAATGGGAGATGGCGATGCACCTCGGTCAGATGTGGAACGACGACTAGCCAGTCCGCCAATCAACTCAGGCGTAGACAGGTGTGGATTGGAGCGAAGGCCAAAGCCCGAGCAGTCGAAATGCCTACGGAGACGCCTTCACCTCGATCGTGGCTAGCAGCGTGCACCCTCGAGCGTGCTTTGGCATCTGTGCGGTCCCTGCACTGGCCTGCGAGCTCCCCATTCGGCCGGTCTTAAAACACAGACCGAGGATTCTAACATGTGTGCGAGTCAATGGGTGAGAAAACTTGTAAGGTGCAAGAAAGCTAATTGACGGGATCCCCTCACGGGTTGCACCATCGACCGACCTTTATCTTTTGAGAAAGGATCGAGTGTAAGCATGCCTGTCGGGACCTGAAAGATGGTGAACTATACCTGAGCAGGGCGAAGCCAGAGGAAACTTTGGTAGGGGCCCGCGGTGATACTGACGTGCAAATCGTTCGTCTGACTTAGGTATAAGGGCGAATGACTAACTGAACTGTCCAGTAGTTGGTTCCCTCCAAAGTTTTCCTCAGGATAGCTGGAGCTTAGGCATGAGTTCTATTAGATAAAGCCAATGATTAGAGGCATCAGGGGCACAACGCCCTCAACCTATTTTCAAACTTTAAATAGGTAGGACGGCGTAGCTGCTCCGTTGAGCTGCGCCATAGAATCGAGAGCTCCAAGTAGGCCATTTTTTGTAAGCAAAACTGGCGATGCAGAATGAACTAGAAGCTGGGTTACGATACCCAACTGTGCACTAACCTAGAACCCACAAAGGATGTTAGTCGATTAAGATAGCAGGACGGTGGTCATGGAAGTCGAAATCCGCTAAGGTGTGTGTAACAACTCACTTGCCGAATCAACTAGCCCCAAAAATAAATGGCGATAAACGCGCGACCTACACCCAGCCATCTGGCAAGTGTTAGGCCTCGATGAGTAGGAGGACGTAGCGGTCATTGCGAAACCTTGGGCTAGAGCCCGGGCAGAGCAACCGTTGGTGCAAATCTTGATGGTAGTAGCAAATATGCAAATGAAAACTTTAAAGGCCGAAGAGGGGAAAGGTTTCATGTGAACGGCACTTGCACATGGGTTAGTCGATCCTAAGAGTCGGGGGAAGCCCGACAGAGAGAGCGTTCAACGCGAGCTTCAAAAAGGAATCGGGTTAAAATTCCTGAACCGGGACGTGGCGGCTAACGGCAACGTTAAGGAGTCCGGAGACGTCAGCGAAGGCCTCGGGAAGAGTTATCTTTTCTGTTTAACAGCTTGCCCACCCTAGAAACAACTCAGTCGGAGGTAGGGTCTAGCGGCTAGACGAGCACCGCACATCGCGTCGTGTCCGATGCACCCCTGACGGCCCTTGAAAATCCAGAGGACTAAGTGCCTCCCACGCCTGGTTGTACTCATAACCACATCAGGTCTCCATGGTAAACAGCCTCTAGTCGATGGAACAATGTAGACAAGAGAAGTCGGCAAAATGGATTCGTAACTTTAGGAAAAGGATTGGCTCGAACAACTGGGCACGGGGGTCCCAACCCCAAACCCGTCGACTGTTGGTAAACTGCTTGAGCTGCTCCCGCGGTGAGAGCGACTCACTGCATGCCGGCCGGGGGATGAACTGGGAAAAGTTCCTCACAAGGCCTTCCCCGAGCAGCGAACAGTCGACCCCAGGTCTCCATGGTAAACAGCCTCTAGTCGATGGAACAATGTAGACAAGAGAAGTCGGCAAAATGGATTCGTAACTTTAGGAAAAGGATTGGCTCGAACGACTGGGCACGGGGGTCCCAACCCCAAACCCGTCGACTGTTGGTAAACTGCTCGAGCTGCTCCCGCGGTGAGAGCAACTCACTGCATGCCGGCCGGGGAATGAACTGGGAAAAGTTCCTCACAAGGCCTTCCCCGGGCAGCGAACAGTCGACCCAGAACTGGTATAGACAAGGGGAATCTAACTGTTTAATTAAAACAAAGCATTGTGATGGTCCCTGCGAATACTCATGCAATGTGATTTCTGTCCAGTGCTCTGAATGTCAAAGTGAAGAAATTCAACTAAGCACGGGTAAACGGCGGGAGCAACTATGACTCTCTTAAGGTAGCCAAATGCCTCGTCATCTAATTAGTGACGCGCATGAATGGATTAAGGAGATTCCCACTGTCCCTATCTACTATCCAACGAAACCATAGCCAAGGGAATAAGCTTGGCAAAATTAGCAGGGAAAGAAGACCCTATTAAGCTTGATTCTAGTCTAACTTTGTGAAATGACTTGAGAGGTGTAGGATGAGTGGGAGCCAAAAACGGAAAAAAGTGAAATACCACTACTTTTAACATTATTTTACTTATTCCGTGAATTAGAGGCGGGGCATTGCCCCTCTTTTTGGACCAAAGGCCCACCACGGCCGGCCGATCCGGGCAAAAAGCATTGTCAGGTAGGGAGTTTGGATGGGGTGGCACATCTGTTAAAAGATAACGCAGGTGTCCTAAAATGAACTTAACAAGAACAGAAATCTCATGTGGAATAGAAGGGTAAAACTTCTTTGATTTTGATTTCCAGCACGAATACGAACCGTGAAAGCGTGGCCCAACGATCCTTTAGACCTTCGAAATTTGAAGCTAAAGGTGCCAGAAAAGTTACCACAGGAATAACTGGCTTGTGGCAACCAAACGTTCATAGTGACATTGCTTTTTGATCCTTCGATGTCGGCTCTTCCAATTATTGTGAAGCAGAATTCACCAAGTGTTGGATTGTTCACCCACGACTACGGAACGTAAGCTGGTGCAGACACCCCATTTTTTACCACCCTTACAACTTGGGAGCCACCAATTGCGCACCCAATGATGAATGTGTATGCTTGTCAAATGCTCGAAGTCCTCAACAGAATGCCTCAGCTTTGAGCCTCAAAACCCGCCAAACCTTGTGCCTCGTTTTTGGACCAAAACAATAGTTTTTCAAGCCTAAAAATTTTGTGACCTGCAGACCCACTAGTGTGGACTACCAGCCACTTCTGTGTTTTTCTCAGATATTTTCTGCTAGTTATCCCCCCATGTACATGCACCATTCCAACTGTATGTATACAGATATTTTCGAGATGGACATATGGTTTTTTATATATAGATGACCTCCCCTCTTGGTTTCAAGGTTTGAAAAATTGAGGAGTGAGAAAATATTTTTGGAAGAGCAAAAAACTCTCTCTCTACAATTCTCCCTCTCTCTTGCAAGTTTTTCACCCTTTGCTTATACATTCTAAACCAAGTTTTTCATTCTTAACTTGTTTCCCTTCTTTATTTGCCATCTTTTCTACAGCTTTTTGGACTATTTTTACACTGAATTTTTGGGCTGAAACTTGTGGTTTAAGGCCATTAATGGTGGAGGGATGGATCACCCTTCTTTGCACCTAACTTCTTAGGCCTTTGCCCTTGTGTTTCCCACCTTTCTATTATCTTTTTTTGGAGCTTTTTACTACTGAATCTCAGTGGTTTTTCATACGCTAAATTCATGTTTTGAAGTCCCAAAAATGGAGGGGGTAGCCTCCCCTCCTTGTGCTTGCTTACTAGCTTAAACTACTCTATGTTTTAGCTTATTGTTTTAGTTATTTTTGTCTTTATTCCAGCACTTTTTAGGACTGTTTTAGGACTATTTTTATGTGTTAGTTTCATTCATGCTTTGTATAGTATGCTTGTAGTGTAATGGTCCTCATAGGCTTGGTGTTTTAGGCCTTAGCCACCAACCTATTTGAGTTGATAGTGTTTATTTCTTCTTTCCATACTTGTGATCACCTCTAATCACCTCTGCAACCTCCCTCCTTTCTTGGCTTTTTCTTTGTTTTGAAAGTTGTTTCAAACTATTTGATTGTTTAAAGCTTGAGATAGAGGTATCGTGCTTAATGGTTTAATTCCTTTGGGGGTTCACTACCAACGGCATGATGTCTCTCTCATGCCTAAAACAACTCTTGGTTTGGTACTTCTTTCCATTAGAGGACTTAAAGTTCACTTTTGGACTTAATGAACTAATGAATGGATGGTAATTAAAATGAAGTAATAAAATTGGGACTAAAAGTGATGCAAGATAATAAAATCAACTTGGGTTCAATCAGACATTAACTAAGCCCCTTGAGTCTTGAGTCGTTTCATACATTTTAGTGATGTAAACAGTTCAATAGTCAATGTCAACCACTTCCCTTGATCAATCCATGATAGGGAGGAGGTTTTGAAAGTCTTTAAATTGTGCATTTATCGAATTATGCCCCTTGCTTTATAAGTCGTCACGCAATGAAATTGCGTCGATTGATGACTTGCGAACCAAACCTACCTCTCTTTTGACCTGTTTGCTGATAAGGAAAG